TTTGATATTTTTGGATATTTTGAAGAATAATGTCATTTTTCGATGTTTCTTTTTTTAAATGTCAATTTTGACAGGTTAAGGAAATCACGTGACCTATTTTGTAGACGCCATTTGACATCATTTCTTAAGCAAAATCTACTGCCAAAATCAAATTTCACATAAAACGATAAATAAAATAGTTTCCCATTTGATGCGGACTTTATCGGTGACACTGTATATCCAACATTTGTGATGCACGGTTTTGAACCTTTGGTGTAGTAATGAATATTACTGAACCGGAGTTTTTTCCCAACACTAAACCGTTATTTTATTACCTCGACACGTATTTCGATCATCAAGTGATCATCTTCAAGAGGAAGGTCAAACTAATGAAGATGATCACTTGTTGATCGAAACATTCTTTGTGATGTGTTAAAATAACGGTTTTTTGTTGGGAAAAAATCCAGTAATATTCATATATCCAACACTGAAAACCTGTTTAATTTGTATAAATTGAAATATTGGTAACAAGCAAAATGTTAAAACTGGATAGGGTTAATGAAAAGCTAATGCATTAAATATTGACAGTATGAGAATAATAATAATAATAATAATAATGTTTATTTAAAGGAAATGTATAAAAAGATGAAAGATGAACATATAACAAGCACAGAAATAAACATGAGAAGCCACTGAAGCTCATAGAGCTTGTGCGTGACATTTATCGAGTTTACAAATCTATACAAAATACAATTTAATATAATACTTTTTGTGTTTCACAAACGACCATCACATGATGCCACTGAGATTTGATATCACCATATTCGTAAAATTCAAGATGCCACTCAGTGGCAGCTTAAAAATTAACAATGTTTTGGTTGACAGAGATGCTTGAAAAAACAAGTGAGTGAAACAATGGAACTCACCCTGTGAGGGTTTTCGTAAGATGTTTTTTAACGATTTTTAGAGATACATAACTATTATAGACAAGAAAGAGTTTACATAATTACTTCGTTCAACTTTGGTAACAAAGCACCATCAGAACAGTTTACAATTAGTTTGCAAGAATTCGTCGTGGTTATGATGAGTCTTGTGTTAAAAATCAAAACGGTGTTGATTCATTAAAACATCGGTGCCGAAGAAGATCGGCAGGTGACATGCCATGAGATATAGAAGCGACACTTGTTATAATAATGCAGATTGTTATACATTCAAAATAGATTTCGCACATTTTGAAGGCTCGTTTGAATTGGTGTGAGGAAAGTGGAGGTAGATAAATGCGGATCTGCAAAATCCATGTATGACATTGTATGAACCCGGAAACCAAAAAACAGTACTGTTTGTATGAAAAGAATCCCTCAACAGTTTTTTTACGAAGGACTTTCAAGAAAATGATCGCTCGTTTTTTCGCCTTCACCATCATTATTTTATTGCTGTGCAACAATTCGTTTGCTGAATATTTTTCACAAAACAACCTAAAACGCGGCACCATTCTTCATGGTGGCAACACCACCTTCCATACAGCAGGTCTTAGAATTGATTATTTGAAGGATAAAATCATCGGACTGATGACTCATAAGCTTCATTTTTTTGTTAGCTTCATGCTGGAATGATAACTCCTTTTCCAGTTGTTATTTTCCATTTTGTTTCTGGGGGAATTCGAAATTTCACCTCAAAAAGCTTGCGAAGCCTTCCAAAATCATCTTTTTGGGATTCCAACATCAGAGTGGAAACAGTTTCGAGAATTGCTTTGAATCTATGCAAAAAAGGATTATCAATTCTAATGGCAAATATTTTGAGAAGTAGTAAAACAGATTCCTACGTAAAAACTCAATAGTTGGCCCTCGTAATTGAACAGAATCTCCATGAACTTCGCAGTTAATTTTCATTCAAGTTATTGATGTGGAAAACAATTACGTATATTTACACGTATTTCATATTCATCTGATTTGAATAGAGTATTCTAAACAAACTAATTATTAATTGATTATTATTAATGTAAGAATTGATAAAAGTTGATGAATCAGTGCTTATTATGGAATAATATTCCTAATGCGGAAATTTTACCTCCCAATCAGCTAGAGGCGATGAATACCCGGAGATGTGTCTGAAGTTTCTCACGCCTCCCATATGATCTGCCGAACGTCTCTTCTTTGTTATGGCTAATGATTCCCATGGCGTGATTACAAACTGAAAGTGAAAATTCCTTTGATTAATCTACAACACAAAATTATTACTCATTCATCGACCTTTAATATTATGAATACTTTATATTATTTAGATCATATTTGAACCTTTCTTGTTTGAATTTACCGAATTTGTCAGTTATTGGATAATTCTAGAACAAAAGACACCTGTTGCCAATTTTGAAATCTTATTTAATCTTTCTCTATTGCAGCTCAGGTAGTTTGAACAATATGTCCCAACAATTCTACAAACCGATATTGGTACACTATTAGAGAATATTATGCGATTTTATTTGCAACTTTTTTAGTTTGTTGAAGATTTTGAACTATCAAATTTATATCGTATGCATTCTTAGATTTCTTAATTTCTCTGCCACATGATTCATGAATGAAATAAAGGAGTAATTGACCTAATATTGATCCCTGTGGTTCTTCAGTCGAAATGAAAGCAGGTTTTGATTTCCAGTCATTTCCCACTCCTATTCTATACAACGTCTTCAGGAGTATTATATGGTTAACTGTACTGAAGGGAAAAAGAGATATCGAAGAGTACACCTATTTGGGTTTGCTCATTATCAAGTTTCACTTGGGCATAGTTCAAGTAAACGATATAGTGCCCCCTACCTTCCAGCAGTTCCCCTTTAATAAAATAGTTAGGGAGCTAACTAATTTTGTTATTCAATAATCATTTCTGATTATATAAGAAAAAAATATTACATGCTCATGACTCATGACTTACATCTTATGTGAGGATGGTTACATTGATGTTGAAGAAGAAATGATGAAACATTGGTGAAGATGAAACTTGATATACAATTCTGAATGATTAACATTTTTTTTGAAAATATAATTTTTGTCAAACCGTTATTGACCTCGTGTGTGCAGGATTCAAATGAACGAGTTCGAGGTTAGAAATATGACAGAGTGACTACTGACAAGTGATAGAAAGCTTAAAATTTCACTAGAAGTACCAAGTGTACTCTAGTTTACAACGTGAAATTTATGTTTGGTTTAAAATTTTTTTATGATTAGATTAAAATTTGGATCTGTTATACGAAGGAGTTCTTCAAATTGATATTGTTCTTGTAAAAGTTCTTGTCTAGAGTCAATAAATAGGAATAAATTTCACTTAAGTGATTAATATCTGTTCTTTTGTTCATACAATTGTTATTTTCAAAAATGTAGGACATTTCTAGAAAGGACCTCTTAACTGAGCTTGATTTAGTGGTTAACACTTTCATTGAGTTATAATCCATATGGTGGTCAAACTTATTCACATGGTCTGTTAAAGAGCACTTTCTATGCATCCTTTTCTGCCAGTCTTCTTCGGTAATATTAGATAATTCTTCTTTAAGTAGCTCTATCACCTTCTTATCAAATTTTGGAAAATTATTTTTACGCCTGATGCTTTGTTTCAACTTTCCCCAAATCAACTTGATGGGATTGAAAACAGAAAAATAGGGGGGAAGTCTCAATCAATATGGTGTGTCCATTATTTTTCAGCAATACTCTCAAGGGCATACACTTTTTCAAATGTTTTTGTCTGAAAACTTCAAGTAGTTGGTTTTTGGTATAGTTATTTTCAAAATATAAATTGTTATCCATTAAAAACTTTGTATTTCATCTTTCCTCGAATTTTTATTCGGTACTTTGATGAGCTGTCACGAATGATAGGAAGCGTTGTCAAGAACTATTCGCACCCAAATTTGAGATCAATGTGTTTTCAAACCATTCCTCAAAAAGATTAGCTTCCATGTTCTTATGATAGTCAACATTGGAGGCCTCAAGTTTTTTTCCACATAATTTCAAATAATTCGGAACCCATCCTTTACTTTCTCCGCAATGCACAATGATTAGTCGCGATTCTTTGTTTGCAGGCATGTTAGGCGTACACATTTTCGAACCATCAGTCCACCCTTTCGTAACTGTGTCGTGAGTGTCATATCAAGTTTTGTCCAAATAGAAAATTTGTCGTTGTTCTTGTCTATATTTAGTTCTAAGTATTTGTTACACAATTCCACTATTCTTCTGCTTTTCATAACTGTTTGACGTTTGTTTATTATTTCAAGTCTAAATTCTAGTTTATCCAATTCTGAAGAGTTTTGTCACAGCAGCTCACGTTATGGCCGGAAGTATTCAATTTCAATATTGTTTTTTTTTAATGATTTTATCAGATGAACATCTAAAGGTTTTGGTAATCCCGCATCAAATCGCGTCTTGCGTTCATAAGGTTTGTTTTTGAGTATTTTACGCACAGTTGAGAAAGGAATTTTGGTCAAATCTGATGTTGCTTGTAAAGGTTTTTTCCCTCGAAACCAAACTCGATATGTAGATTTTTATATACATTGAAACATACTCTCTGTGTTTCAATATTCAAATGCATCCGAATCTTATTCACTGGTATCTCTTTTACGCATTGTTAACCATCGCTATTGGAATCACTACACAGGAAAAAGTGTGCGTTGTTATCACACTCATTATTACAATTAGTACTTGTCCAAGGACGCCACATTTTAAACAAATAACAAAAATTTTAAGTAATTATAACTTCACCAAAATCAAATATTTCAACACTCAAATCGCGATCAGTTCCTGAACTGAACATTGACAACACGAATCTTTTAACCATCCTCACATTCTATTGGTCACTGTAACATGACTTCTAAATTAATTTTATGACTCTTCAGCTAATCATAAAACTCGGTTAGTAAAAATTATCCAATACGAACCGCCAATTCTTCATTCCACGTGGACTAATTCGTAGCGGCATTATTCCTTTGTATTGGTTTTTTTGGCATTTGAGTTCGCCGAAGCTGTAAGAATTACAGCTTCGGCGAAGCTGTATTTCGAGTTATATTTCGAGCTGTATTTCGGTTACTTCGAGTATACATATTATAGCATAGTTCGTTACACAGTTCGCACAGTTGAAGTGAATCGTTGTTCTCTAAAGCCATTTCGCGTAAACGATAAATTTAATCAGTCTTAGACAGTAGCCATAATCAATAATTTTTGTGAATTTGGAATGCAGACATAGTTTCTGTTGCACATTTCAATTTTTGATTCTTCATATTCAAATATAGGAATTGACTTTCATATTGACTTTCTACTGCGAAGAAAAAAACTATATGCATACAAAGTAGTTTTTTGTTTGGTAAATTTATAGGACTCTTTATCGGAGAAAGTTTTTTCTATGCTACACAAATTCCTGAAATTGAGGAATTTTCATAGTGATAGTTACTTCATTTTCGAGAAACATTACATGTTTATTATTGAGAACTATACACGTAAACATCAAACGGAATTTTATAAACAACAATAAAACATTTTAAAATTTGTTTTTCCGTTAACTAGCCGTCGCACCCCTACTAACGACAACCATCAGAAGTTGAAAATTGTGCGAGGTCTTACCTTTCAACGTACAATTTCTAGCTAAACGCTGTGTTATTTTGCGTAATTCAGACATAAAAAATAGTTTCTATTGTCGGAATTTCTTCTTCATAAGTCAATGGTCACTTTTCACCAAATCATTCAAGAAGAAAGAAACCTCTTCCAGAAAACACATATGTAATTGTAAATTGCCACGATGATCGTAGTTGTCTTCATTGAGTTTTTGTACTGAATGATCCTTATAAATAATCTCAGGACACAAGCAAAAACTTCATAACTGTGTATTTACTAAAAAAGACTATAAATCAGCAAAAGCAGCAACTTCTTTTGATGTAATGTACTTGATTAATTCAGTCTGTGAAGTAAAAATCGATTTTTGCATTTTTCGATTGGTATTATGAAGCTCCATATTTTTTAAAGGAGTGATTCGATCCTCAAAATCAAGTATCAATGTATAGAAAATATTTTTTTTTTCAAATGAGGTATCACCCGACCCCTATTTCCATTTAAAAAATGGATATAGCAACTTGTTTCACAAGTTGTCCCCTTCAGAAAAAACTTGACGTGTTTTTGGATGTTACATGGTAGATAATAGCATTTCTTCTACTTGTTTAGCAATTTCAGAGCATGAATGAAAATGTTTCTGCTTGAAACAGTGAAAGAGATTCTTAGGAAATTAGAGAAGAATCTTCTACTCATTTGTATCTAGCCGACATGATTTCTCTTCTCCTTCATGTGTCCACACCATACCTGATTTCATATGCTGAATACAGAAAACAGTAATTGCTATTTCTTTAACTACCCACACACTTGTGATGCACTGTTTGGAACCTTTGGTGTAGTAATGAATATTACTGTAGTTTTATCCCAACCCCAAACCGTTATTTTTTTCAACATCTCGACACGTATTTCGATTACTAAGCGATTATCTTCAAGAGAAATATTAAACACACACAGGGCCGTAGCGAAAAGAAAAACCAGGGGGGAGGGAATCCAAATTTTCCCATCCCCACCAGCAAAACTTACCAACTTTCGAAAAAATTAAAGTCGAGGGATTAGTTACTACTATAATATATTAATTTTCATACTTAGCTA